CAAAAATAGGGTACGTCCACGCACCGCGGACTTACATGCTCTGACCCGTGTCACCACAACAATTATAGCTGCCGCTGTTCCCCCTCTAACTTGACCGTTCACTGTCTTTAAATAAAATACACTGATGTTGAATAAAATCAATCATTCCCTGTCAGCTTGATGTTGCCAAGCAGATGTTGTGTCTACAGATGTTCACATGTTTGATGCCATTTCACATGGTTGCCAGGTTTTAATGGTGTGACTTTCTGGCCTCCACTATCTATGTGAAAGTGGTTTAGTGCGCTGCAGCTCACAACGCTGTGCAAAAGCTGGACTTTCTCACAATTTGTTACATTGCAACCACAAACTTCCAAGAATTTTACATGGTGGATCGACCCAAAGTAGCCTACATGTTGTAATTAGTAATCGAGTACATGCGGCCTTGTAATCTAAACCCAGATAAGTCCAGCTGTTCTGTGGAAACAGAAGCTTTTAGAGAACATCGTTGCTCCAGCAGCATCCTGCAGACCTAGGAACACAACACGGATCAGGGATAACGCTGTAATAAACCTCAAAGCACTGTTAAACTTAAGAGTAAACTTTGAACATCTCAAAAAGCACTCCATCATCAGACAATAAAGACAGTAGAGAACAACTGCAAAGCCACCAAAACATGACCATCTACTTTTACTGATAGATGTTAAAACAGAATCCTTGGAATTAAACATGATGGTGGAGTATACTTTTTTTTCTCCATCAAGAACTATAAGGCCTTTCAGAATTGATGGGGAGGCTATCTGATACAAGGACTGAGGCTCATCTTCCACCATGGCAATAACTAAAGAAAAAATTGGAGTGATTTAAAGCAAATTTAAACCAAAAGGACATTTTGGCTTGGGTACTTGAAAGTTGCTCATGGATTCCCAGGATTGCTGAATTACAATTATGTGCTACACTGTGTTGGTCTATCACATAAAGCCAATGTAAAATACAGTACATTTTTGAGGTTATTACATATAAAAATGGGGAAAAAAAAAAATAAAGGGAGTGTGATTTCTTTTGCTAGGGCCTATACTAAATCTACAACGGTACAGCATCAAGGCAGCGTATGCTTGTCTCTAATCGTCTCTTTGATCAAAGGAGCATATTGGGACTCCACCACTAAGCCCCTGTGGCCCATGACAGGCAGAAAAGAGCCAGCACACTTACCCAAATGCACATATCTCATCCAGTGGAATCCATCCAGCTTCACCCACTAAGCCGCAGAGAGGCAACCACTTAACAGAAGCATCATCCTCTTGTATAGTCTGTAATAATGGCATGGAGAAATCCAACCACACGCAAAGGAGATGCCGTCTTAAAGGACTGATTAACCAGAAGCTGTGGAAGGTGTGGTGTTTACAGTCCCCCATGTACCGATGCAGACATTAGACAGCACATGTACACACAGAGAGATGCAGAGAAGCATGAAAACTCCCACTAAGTGCTCTGCTGGTTCTTGGTTGTCAGGCTACAGTTAAAGTAAGCAAGCAGTGGCAAGTATGCCCAATGTCTGGTACACTTCTGTGCATTTAATGAATGAGGTTGCATTTTATGAAAAGGAGCTGGAAAAGGACGGAGGAAGAAAAACAAAACAAAGCTGTATTTCTCGGCATAGAAGTGATGCCATTATGATGCTTGTTTTGTTTCTTCATACTGCATTTGATTGTGTTGTGAAAGCACAGGTTAGGTTTTTTGTTTTCACAGGTCATCCTGAGGGCAAAATCCCAACCACAAGCCAGGCTGTTTGTCCGGAGAGAGCTGCCATCTCTCTGAACAGACTGAGCACGCCTTTTTGATCAGCTGCCAGAAGGGTGCTTCAAGACAAAAGGTGTCATATGTTGGCAAAGCTCACTGAAAAAACAGGTTTTTTTTTCTTTAGACGCTTTTGCCTCAAAGCTCCACCAAGTTTTCAAGTGTGCTCCGCCAAAGAAAGTGGCTCCATTTGTGTCAAAATAAGACTCTTACAGATCCTCTGTCCTTTCAAAGCAGATGATGCATGCGTTTCAGTGGACGTACTTGCAGATTCACCAGGCACTGCAACAATCCGTTTGTGACAAGTTTCTATGTCTCACTGCCATTTGATCTCCTTGTGAACCCACAACAGGAAATGGAAAATAAGAACGCAAAGATGAGCTCATGGACTGTGGGAATTTATCGCTAAAAAGGCGAGAAAAAATATTCTATGCCACTAGAAAAAGCTTACCTTGCATGCATGCAAACTTAGTTGTTTTAGACAGACAGAGAAAAAGAGAAAGAAAGTTTCAGCTGTCTGAGTGTAAAAAAAAAAAAAAAAAGACAGACTCAAACCGTGGTTGCTCTTTTGGGGAGAAACCACAGCTATGTCAGCTTAAGCTCAAGATAACACATAGACCAAAACAGGATATTAAAAACGGAGTTCGCAGCTCCCAAAAAGGCCCATTCCAGCTTTGGTTGGTGTTTACTGCATGCATCTTTCGATCCAGGAATCACATTTAGCTCTATGCAAGGTCTACTTTAAAACAAGTGGCTGCACCCTGTGCCCAGACAGACGGTAACGTCTAGGTTTCAAAAGCTCTTCATCCATATATGTATCGGTTTTCGCCTTCACTGTAAAGTAACATAATGGGTCCTTGCCCAGACTTTGAGTTAGAAGTCATGAAAATACTTTGACATATTTACAGTGGTTTCACTAATGGTTTAGATTTTACTATCTTGCACAGTAGCATAGAGATTAGCAGGCCATTTCCTGACCTGTGCAAATCATGGATGGAGGGATATTCACTCTCAGAGATCTTCTCTACAGACCCAATTCTTTGTTGGAGTCGGTCCCTTTTCTGCTTTGTAGATGAACCAATCAACACAGTGACAGATGTGTACGAGACAGACTAAATATTGATTGTGAAGAAGATAAACAACAGCCCCTGTGGTAGGCTGCACTTTTTGAATTGCTACAGGAAATGCAACCTGCACAGGGCCCTCTTCCAAGCAACGTTTATTATGCGTGAGGACCATCTCAAGTCCCAAGAATGGGTGACTTCAGGGAGCTGGAAGTGGTCCACAGTAGCCGCAGTCGTGTCATCTATGAACTTCAGGAATTCTACAGATGGGTCCATTGACTAGAGTCATTACAAAAGGAGGAACATATGTCAAGAGTTTTTCCTAGTCATTTTGAATAAAACAGCTTACAACTAATCAAAACCCAAAATTCAGTTAATTACACAAAATGAATACATGGGACCAATTTAAAAAGCTACTCTGTTAGAGTTAAACATTATTTTTCCTTCCAAATTAACTTTTCAATAGTATGCTTGAATACACCACCCTATCAACAGACATGTTGTTTAGCAATGCTGTTTGGGACATGCCTTAAATATTGGGTTTTCATGATCTATAGTCATGAAAATTAGACAGAATAAACGTATTAATTAATCCATGTTTCAAAAAAGTTTCTCTTTCTGATTTGGAAGGGTGACCGCAAATGAAATTCTACATGGGGCTTCTGCAACCTTGAACAAGCTCTTTGCCCTGCAACATCCTGTAATGTGTATACCGTATTCCTAAAAAGTAACAGCTGCTGCTATATTTAGGACTGTAAGTTGAGTTGTCTTCTTTGAAGCTGCCTAGCAAAGTTTCAAGCCTCTGCAAACGCAGGTTTTTTTTTTTTTTTGCACTTTCATGCATGACTCAAGAGCACCGTCTTGATAACTGTCACAGCCTGTCAAGCTGGTGGAGCTCTTTCAGGTGAACTGCATGCAGTGGTTCTCTGAAAATCTACAGTCAACTGTTGTGCGCCACAAAACATTGTAAAACACACATTGATGTTTAAGGAAAATTCCTTCACGTGTAACCCCACCGAGTCTAATTCGTTACTCTGGCATTCGCATGTGCAGTATTTTATCAACTTTACTCAATTTCCTAAACTAGTGAAAATATTTGGCTTGTAAACCACTTCTCTGAGATAAAGTCACAAGTTTATTCCTTGTTCTGTTCCAGGTTGAAATGATCTGTTGCTTTTATTTATTTTCCATTGAACATTTTGTCTTTTAAGAGCTTTGTCCCCATATCTCATTTCTCATCATTATCATGTCTCTAGATCACCTAATTACCACTTGTTACTCATCACTCATCTGTGTCTGCTCCTGCAGTCACACCTTCTTTTCAGAGTTTCTATCTTGTTTATGCCCAGGTAGGAGCAGAAACATGCCAGTAAACAGGAGTTTTTTTTTTGTTCTTCTCTACTCTGCTGGATTACTTTCTCTTTAGCTTGATCATGTACAAAATCTCCTACAGCATTATTTTTATTTGAGTGTTTTTTTTATCTTTTTTTTATCCTATAATCTGCTTGCATGTAGTGGTCTAATATTTTTATTTGGGATTTTCAATGACCATAGATTATGGTAAAACAGTGACTTTGCCAATTTTTACAAAAGAAAAAAAAATGCTCAAACAGATAAAAAAAAATCAACAGTTTGTATAGTTTTTGTCTTGGATATTTAAATATATTAGCAAACAAATTAATTTCCAAAATCTAAGTACTTAGTAGATACCATCATCCAGAAGTCACAGAGGAAAGTGTGAATCCGTTTTTTCCTGGAGTTTTGATAGATTTTTGATAGATTTCAAAAATCTATTTGAATTTTGAACCGGATACATATTATTTGCCAGATTAGTTTTCTGAAATACTAGCCTTTCTTAATCAAGCAGGTGTGGCAGGAACTCATTTCCTTCTAAGAAACCTTCTTTAATATGCAGGGTGTGCCTGCAGCACTGACAATACTTTTGTCAATAATTCCTCAGACTGAGTCACTGAACCTATGGTGACCTTTTCTTAAACATACAATCCCAAGATTTCTTTGAACCCGACCCCCAGCCCATTTAAAAAAAAGTTATTGTTCTTTTGGATGTTTTGTAACAAATATTATGTCACGGTGAATGATCTTGTCGTTGATAGACGATCTTTGAGGTGACCACCGTCACCTAGCAACCAGATAAAGCATACCCAACCAGCTTAGCGCTGGTTGTGAAGGTTAGCTCCTGGGCTAAGTTGAGGCTAGCCTAAAAAGTTTAGTTTTATAGTAGAAAATGGTTAAACAAACGATACAGATATTCGGTCGAATTAAGCCCACGAATAAAACTGCGGCGGTAAGAGTACAATTCTCGGCATTCAGATTTATGTCATGGAAAATAGAGTTATTTGGTGTTAAGATTAGATGCAGTACAGGGCTTATTGCTCGTGGCGTTTAGCACATAAATACAGTCTAGTCTTTATTCAGAGAAGCTAGATTATGCATACAAAACACCAGGTGTCAAAATATGCAAATGTTTACATATATATGTTTCATTTTCTTCTTAACGACATTTTATTCCACTGGAGATTTTGTTACCTTGATGTGTCAGTTATAACTTTAATAATGATGGCTCCTTTCCATAAGGTGTCCTAATAAATTATTCGGATGAACAGGAATCCACAAAAGAGTCTCAGAGCGTTTCGAGCTCTGGCACACCTGGAAGGAATGCAGTTGTTTCAGAATGTTTTCAGTGACACATTTCATGTCCGCTTCTTGCTATAACTTGTCTATTGTAAAAGCAGTTCAGGCTGTAAAGTCCACATTTTCTTTCTTTTTTCATTTTCTTTTTTTTTGTTGTTTTTTTGCTTTCTAAAACACAATTGTTGTTGACATGTTCTATATAGTTATCAAATTTGAATGTTGCTTTTATTTTATTGTCTACAAATATAATGCAATCCAGGTCCACAATCCGATACAGGTTCTCTGCTGGCTTTTGTTGCCTTACCTTGTTGGGACAGGTTTGTACTGAAAGAAAATGAAATGAAATGAAGGAAAATTGCTTATTTTCCTTAATGCAAAATTGACTTCACTATATAAAAAACCTCTTTACATTGCCTCTGATATATTCCTATATTTGACATGTATGTAAATTGTCACCCAAAAAAATATATTTTTCTTTCTTTTAGATTTGTTATGCCCACAGTTATATATTTGAGCTGTGTACTTCTGCTGATTTTGATTATTAACAGTCTACAGCAAAATAAAACAAAATTATTTGTATCAGAAATTATTTATCTAGTCAAATGAAATATTTTGCCTTGGCAATGTTAAAGCTTACATATGTTATTATGTTTGTCATTTTTTGAGCTTCTGTTTTCTCCACTAGTCCACTTCCAGGGTGCCATCAAAAAGCTGCATCAAAGTAAAAAGTTTAAACATTTTCGCAAAGTGACCAAAATCACTTTACAGTAAATTTTGTAAGAAGCTTTGGCTCCTGTGAGAACATTTGCTCCACATTTTACATGTAAACATAGGTTCTCATAGGATGCAGAGCTAAAACTGTAATTTCATCTTATTGAAGCACTTTACTGAGCAAAGCCCTTGTTTAAAAAAAAAAAAAAATCTGACGTAGTTTCGTAGTGCTTTAGTGGTACCTGACTATACCCACCAAAATGAAAGAGCACAGCTCCCCCCCTAGGGCCTTTTTCAGGGTTTGGCACACATCTCTGGAAAAAACAGAGGAGGGCAAAGCAACAAACAGGGTGACAGTGGAAAACCAATTTAATCACTGGGACCATATCTTTTTTTTTTTTTTTTTATTCCTCCAGTCCTGGAGAATGCTAATTACATCAGTGTCCATTGGAAACCAGAGGCTCAAAAGCAGAGAACATGGGTGTTTAGAGCACCCCAGCCAAGCCCACGTAAATGGCCTCCAGTGCTAGAGCTCAGTCGATATTGGTTTAATGTTCTACAATTTTCTTTGTCTCCCTTGGGGCCTGACTTTGGCTTTAATCTGCAGAGCCTGCATTCTCAGTGCACTGATCCTGATTGCCTCTTTAGTACTGTTGCTTTCCACAGGATACTTGCACCACAAACTGCCATCTTTTCATTTCTGGGCTTTTTCAATGCTCAAACCACAAATGTCCAAACCTATATTTCTAACTAAAGATGATGTATAGACTTTATGTTGAAGTTGGACTGCAGGTATGACTCGACATACAATTACGGCAAAAAAATCAGTGAAACATATAGCAGACCAGTACATGAATGTTTATTTGACTGTTCTTAAATGCTTCCTAAAATGTCATTTTATGGTACATTTTCTGCCTATAGTTGCCACTTTTAGAAGTTATGTGCCTGTGTTTATGTTGCCTCTGGCTTCCTCAGGTGTACTCTGTGAACCACGAGGAGGAAACAGGTGGCTCTCTGGAGTTTTTGGTGCCCAGGGACCTGGCTGATGGCATTGTTAACCACAAGAGGGAAAACTACAAGTTCAGGTACATTCATTTACATAAGTGTTTGGTGTAAAGAATAAATAAAAACACCTATTTGCTTGTGTTTGTCAATGATACTTGGGAAGGCAAAGCTTGTTTGTTTATATAGCACCATTTATACACAAGCTAATGCAAGGAAAAAATAAAAGAACAGAGGCAATGGCATAAAAAAGAATGAAGACAAAAAAGTGAACTGTTAAAAAAGATATGCATGACATTTAAAGAAAAACAATAAAATCCAACTTTTAGATATAATGAAAGTGAAATGGTGAATTAATCTTAATTGAAAGGCTGCTGTAAATAATAATATTTAATCTAACTTGCTATGAAATAAAGAATGTGCACCACTTTTCTGGTGTCCTGTACAGGACACCATCTCATCTATCTCAATGTTATTGTTGCCGTTGCTATTGATTAACTGAGTGCAGACATACACTCATTCACTCTTTGCAATTTTAAAAACACTCACTGAATGTAAGGAACTGCAGCTCGTGACACATCAATGTAAAGTTGTGTATTGTCAGCATGTATATGGACCACGATGTTCTTACTCTCCAGTTATCTGAGATAAAAGTAGAATAAATAATCTGAATTGAAGTCGCCTGAGGAAGGAACCTTGGGGAACTCCACGTGTGACCTTGTATTTTATAGTCTTCATAGTCCTGTGGTGTGATAAAACACTTCCCTGGAATGGAAATCATGAAAGACATTGCTGTTTTGCTGTGTAGAAAACTGAATGCAGCTTGTAATAAATTTATTTTTTTCCATAATCTTTAAAAACAACAACAACAAAAATAAAAATAAAAAACTGGCCTGTAATTAAATAGTATTGAGGTATGCAGGTTAAGCCTACAAAGGAATTACCTACCTGCAATATTTCAGGTGAAACCCAGCTAAAAGCAGTTTTTCTTTAATACTTGTGGGCACCAGGTGGAAGATTTCAAGTCATTACAGTTTCTCTGAGAGACACACAATTCAATGGTTGAAAATAATCAAGATGCAGTAATAATTCTGGAATCATCGAGGATGTAAGCAGATTACCGGAGATGGAACTACATTCTGCTTATGTTTTTATTAGGCTAACAGTGATTTAAACTAAGATTAATCTGTGACTAGTCAAGTATCAAATTTGTGCAAAAACAAACAAACAAAACATGACTAATTTTATATACGAGGAACAAATATGCTGGATGATCTAAGTGTAAAAAGCTACAATAAGAAAAGCCAACACTCAGACCTGGCTCGTGTGGCTGCATTTGAACTTTTTCCCCATGAATAATTCATCCACAAGTCCTGTCAGTGAAGAGCCAGAACATCTGTCTAATGCTCAGCTGCAGCCTCATATACCCTCTGTGCAGAGTCCATGCCACGCTTCCAAACCTTAAATTCACAGTTCGGAAGTCAGACAGCAGTGGACACTCAGAGCCTCTGAAAACCACATGGTCCTTTAATAGCTCGCAGAGGTTCCCCTGTGCCCTTATAGCAATAAAGTTTCCACTTTTAACAACCTTCCATGGGTGGATTCTGTTCACATTTCTCCTCATCTTTCCGTGGGCTTGAACATGACGCAGCTTTGTTTGTTTTACAGAACAGAACCACTTAACCCTATCCTCATCTATTTAAGACCTTAAATATTTAACAATCAGCTGTGGATATTCCAAATAAACTACAGTTTTTTGGACTATTCTTAGCCTGCTTCGTTAAATGTGTCATGGCGATACTGTGTTGTTTCCCACTTCTCTCCAGGTTCCGAAAAGTGTTTGAGCAGCACATTAAACAAGATGTGATATTTGAAGACATCGCCAAACCAGTTGCAGAAAGGTAAAACAAACAAAAAAATAAATATATATATATATTCGATGTTTACCTATATCCTTAGCTTTTTTGAAACTTTGTATGACACGGGTGATGGAAAAGATCTTATGTGTGCATTGTACACCCCAGATTAATGTAAGGCCACACAGATTCAGCCAGCTTTGTTGACAGGAAGTTAGTAAAGCTCAGTTTTCTTTAAGATGGAAATGGAGGGTGTCTGTGATGCTTGGCACGTTTTAAGCACTTAAACCACTAAGTGGACAAAGCTGGCAGGCAAGATGGCACACTGTGCCATCATGAGAGTGAAAGCCTTTTCAAGCCACAAAGCTGTAGTCTATATTTAACACATAGGCTTACAGTAAATGTACACGTGAGATGAATATACTTCTTTGATGCTGTATTATTTTCTAATCTGCCATCATAGCTTTTATTTTAGAAAAGGGAAGTGATGGGATAAACACAGTTTTGTTTGCCATCTACTGATATGGTCTGTTGGTTGTTTTATTTCGAGTCTGGTTTTATTTCCTGGTTCTTTATTTTCAGTCGGCTCCAGTTTTGGTTTCCTTATCGAACTTTTGTAACAGTCTTGTTTTACTTTTGACGTTCAAATTTGTCAGTTGTTTTAGCAACTGGATTTAATGTTTTATTATTTTGCATAGCGCCTTTATTATTCATGGCTCAATATAAGCTGCCGTCTGCTATCTCATGGGGCCAAATTGATATCATTAGATGTGTTCCCTCCATGATAGTCCTGTTAGTGTCTGTGTTTGTCCGCTTTACTTACTTTAAAGTATTGTTTTTGTTATCCGGTTAGATTTTATCTTTCAGCAGCACTTTCAATTTTACTATTTGTGGTCAGTTAAATTAGTTTATATGTTATCTTAGCGTGCGTTTCCACCACCATTTGTATTGCACATAACTCTGTCCCTAAAATTGATTTAAAAACACACAGACACGTGGAGATTCATAGACATTGTTATGATACGTGTGTAAAAAGTCTACCAAGTAAATTATCTTTTCATTAATGTAATCTCATACTAAACATGTTGAAACTACTAAACAACTGAGGTTGCAGTCGTTTAGTAGAACCCGCTCCCTCTTCTTCATCACCCCATCTAGCTTCTTAATCCCAAGCTACAAATAAATTGCTCAAATCTTTTCTGAAATCACTCACAATTTCCTCCACTTTAGTGTACTCAGCCTTACTTGTTTTTAGTTTGACTTGCACTGAGTACGTCTTAAGATGACGCTGGCGTTTGACCCAGTTACTACAGGCGAAAACAGCCCCACTCTGCATTGATGGTATTCTGCGAGAATTATTTATTATTCAATGTTTTTGTGTACACAGAATGAAAGCAGAATTAAATCATTGAAGTGGTTATGTTGCGTCAGTGACACTTTAACTTTAACTTTTGAAATAAGACAAGAAAAACAGGAAAAGACTTGGAATTTCCTGAAATCAAATGTTGTTTTTTTAGCAAGGCTCTTCCTTGCTTTAACCCCAGCAAACCTTGCCTACACCTCAGATTTTCTCTACCATCTTCTCCACATTCCACCCAACCATCATTATTACACTGGGACCTATTTGTGGAATCCCACAAGTACTTTGGATTTTCTTAGCTATTTGGAGACATATAAACAATGGTTGACTAATTAGTCTGATGTATCTGACCTTTAAGGTATTACATTTCCATCCTAAGCCATCAGTTTTAATGCTTCTCATTTTGTTGTGGCAGCTGGTATACATCAGAATAAAAATCAGTAGTCACCGGCAGGCAGCATCTTTCCACATTAATTAAAAACTTGTCATGTTCAAGTCTTTGAAATGAGCCTTCTGTCTGTAGTCTAATCACTCGGTCGAGGCATGGCCAGTCTGTTTCCCTAATCAGACATATCTCAGTCCATCGTTAGCTCCTTGTATTCTCAAGAGAGATCCACCTTATACAAACTCTGAAAATGCCATGGCCAAAGAAGCTGGTTGCTCAGAGAATGTTGTGTCCTAGAATATTCATAGAGAGTTGAGAGAAAGGGAAAAAGTGTGGTAGAAATTGCCGTTAGCAATTGGGCTAACCGCTGACCTTGAGAGGATCATCAAGCAAAATTCATGAAGGATTTTGGGGACTTTCATAATAGTTAAACTAAGGCTGGAATCAGTGCATTTAGTGCAAGTATGCAGAGATGAATCCCACACATAGGCTACAAGCGTCTTATCTGGGCTAAGGATAACAAGAACTGGACTGTTGCTCAGTGGTCCAAAGGCTTGTTTACAGAGAAAAGTAAAGCTTGCATTTTATTTGGAAATTAAGATATCAGAGTCTGGAGGAAGAGTAGAGAGGGACAGAATCCATGATGCTTGGAAGTCCAGTGTGAAGTTTCCACGGTTATTGATGATTTTAGTGCCAGGTCATCTGCTTGTCATGAACCCTGCTTGTCTAGAGACCGTAAAGTCGAACGTCAAAAGTATTTATTGTTCCAGGGTTGCCCTGTATTTACCTCCATCCATATTCCCATCAAACTTGAACCAGCTCATCGTCCCTGTTGAAAAAAAAGCGTCTACACAGGATGACACTTTCAACACCATTTTGTTTGGTGTGGGTGTGGTGCTCAGGGTCATGTGCTGTTTTAGTTTTCTGCTGCACTTTGCACTTGGCTTGACAGCTACACATGTATTTGTAGCTCACGTAATTTGTCAGATATAGATCATCTGACAAATTACGTGAAAGATTAGCTTCTTCCATATGAGTCTATACCAGATGTGAGTATAATGGACAGTAGTTGAATGTAAAATTCAAAAGAAGAAATGCAAGGTATTGCACCTGAAGTAATATATTATTGTAGCCCATGTGTGGGATTCATCTAAGCAGTACCTATCATATGAATCCGATCGTTTGGGGTTGGTATTTTGCACACATGGATATTTTGGTTAGATATATTACGCAGCTCTACATAACCCCCTTTAACATTCTTTATCTCTAATCTGTTTGCTTTGTTCCTTGGTTTTCATCATGCTATTTTTTTCCTCTACTGTTCCCTAACAAACCTCTAAGTCCTTCACAGGAGAAATGATTTTGTGCTCAATTGTGTCTGTACTAAGTGATTCCTTAAGTCAACTGGATTTTATTTTGGGGTATCAAAAAATTAAGAGGACTGAATACTGTTTTAATTATTTTAATTTATAGGAAATTAGGAAAGCCATACATTTTCTTTCCTCTCCACAAATATGCGCTTCGCTTCTGTCTTGCTGTGGTGTAACATAAACCACTCTGTTCATGTCTCATGAAGTAGTTAAAAAAATAAAAATACAGCCTCAGTTATTGGTGAAGAGGAGCCAGTTTGATGATATTGGGCTGACAGCACAGACCAACTGTCTGTATTGTGTGATCCCATTTCACAAGGCAGTGAGACCTGCAGCTGAAGTTCAGACATTTCTGTTCAGTAGCCAGGAAAGCTGAGGTGTAAACAGGAACAAGAGCTGGGAAACGCCCAAACCTCAGTGGCACGGCCCAGCCCGCATCATTAGTACTGACATTAAGCTAAACACTGAGCTTGCGTCTTTTCTCCCCACTGCCAATCACCACCATGACTCACACTCGATTGTACTGATGCCCAATGGCCATCCAAGACAGTCTAGCGGGGTATCATTATTTGAGTGGACAGATGCTCTATTATAGCTGCCTGTTTTCCTGCTGCTTCATGTAAGGCAGAAGTTCCCAAACTGTGGGGCGCTCCCCCTAGGGGGGGCGCGGGAAGCCGTCTGGATGAAAAAAACAAAACATGATCACTGTATGCGCTGGGTTTTTTCCTTAGAATGGCCAACTCTTTGTTATTCCTATGTCAATTTGATACAGTGATGTTTTAATCTCACATCTCACAATAGTTTCGTCATTTCAGAGAAAAACTGGTTTCAATCATTCTGCGCACGTGTAGAAGAGCAGCTCCACGCCAAACCCAAATACAGCAGACCCAGCCTAGTCGTGAGGGTTTGGGCTCCCACTGTCAGTCATGCTCCAAAGCATTCCACCCTCACCAGCAGATGTCTGCCGCCATTGCAGCTCTGAATTCACTGGCATGCTTTAATGTGGATTTTACGTGTCAAGTTTTATTCACAAAGACTCTTATTGGCTTTAGGACAGTTTCAGAAATTAAAACAGAGATTGCTTATAGGAACTAACTTGCTAATGAGCAAACTCTTCTGAAAATTATTGAGTTGAAAGGAGGGATTCTATAGCAGGCTACAATAATTGGAGTTTAGCTCAATTAAATCTGGTTATTTGTAGGATTTTGCTTGCCTTTTAAAGTTTTTTTTGTGTGTGTTAGACTAATGAAATATAACTTGCATACTTCAAGATGTATTAATGTATTTAGGAACAGATGATTTAGTGATCCATAAAACCTTAGAAGTACTCATTTAATCACAACTTTTTTATTTGAAAAATTAGTTCGCCAACAGTTTTGTACATTTGCCCATTCAAACTGTGAATGTAATAAATTTGCAGGGAAAAAAATGCTTGAGGCCTTCTTGTTGCTCATGATCTGTTCTGTGCAGTGTACTGGCTGGCTACAATGGCACCATATTTGCTTATGGTCAGACGGGAAGTGGGAAAACATTCACCATCACTGGAGGAGCTGAGCGCTATGTAGATCGTGGTATTATACCTCGCACCCTGTCCTACCTGTACGAACGCTTCAACCAGGTCAGAGCAGGCACCTCTAATTTTCTTGTAAAGATTCCCTAAATAATTTGGAAAGATGCATGGTTAGATTATTGTTATGATGAATGTTTATAATGTTGTGTGATATTTGTTGTTTTTCTGAGAGGTGGCTCACAGATTATTTAAATCAAATTTCCATTTCTATGGATAATAAAGTTTTTATCTTCTAAACCAAATATAGCTTAGTTGGTTGTTTTGGTAGCAGTATATGATAAAACCTGTGCCATTCCTGTCAATATATTGGCTACTTTTGCAGACCTAGAAGGCACATTTTACAGTAAACGTATAACTAATTCAACTGAGTTTGAAGTGTAGTTTCCAGATAAAAGTACACATGTGACTTTCTCAAACTTGCAGGTTGGTGTAGTTAACTTACAAGAAACTTACTGGAATTTTCAGTGCATTTGTCACTGTGCATTTGCATTTTAATGCAAAGTTTCTCTA